CTGTGTTGATTGTAGGTAATTGTATACCACTTGGTAGAATTGTCATTTTTACCTGAACTATGAAAATTTCAGCTGCACTGAACTTACTTCATGTTTCATATCCTCTGTGAGTTTGTGTTTGTGTTTCACTGTTAAATTATATTTAATATCTTTAATTTCTTATATGTATTCTGTAACAAGATTAGTTCTGTAGATTGTAAAAACAGATATTACTTGTACAATGAGTGCAATTTCATAAAGTTATGAAAAAAAATATATATTAATATGCAAAATATTAAGTAATTGTTTTATAGTTTGGTCAGTTAATCTCCTTCTCCTTTTCCTCTTATTAATGTGTACAAACGAATGCTTGTTGGATAAGATATTGTGTGCTTATACATCATAACTGAACAATTTGAATTTGAAATGTATTTGTGTATATTTTTCAATATGTTTTACAAGAGTTGATTACACTCTGTGCATGTGTGTGTGTCTGTGTCTGTGTGCATGTGCGTGTGCGTGTGCGTGTGTGTGTGTGTGTGTGCCTTTAACTTTTCAGCCTTAAATATATCTTATTTCATTCTTATTACTCAAAATAATATATATATAACATACATATACCAATGAAATAAGCAATGACAAACATTCAGTTGGCATTAATAAAAACACCACAGTTTTAAAATGCATTTTTATTTAAAATAAACATCTCTTTTCCTATATACATTTAAGAAACATGATACACTTGACATTAAAAAATGCAGACAATATGTCCGATTGTCAGGCAAGACCTTCCTCACGTAACCCACCGAAGTATGCCAGACAGACGCTACGATATAGTACATTTACTCGCACACACCTTGTCTGTTAGGACTTTCTCATTTTCTAGTCAAATGTTTTAACAAAAAAGCTGGAGATCCTTATGATATCTATACATTATGACGAGAGAAAAATTGGTTCACCCTTCAAGATCGTCTTTTATTACCGATGAAAAAAATGAATAAATGAATATATAAAAATTTTATAATAATAATAATACCATTAGTGCTAATGACGATGATGATAATACATAATAATAATTATCATTATTAATATTATTTTAAATATATATATAAATAGTTCATTACATATGAAGAAAAATTAAAACCTTAAAACAAATAAATTCAGATTTTTTTTTTCAAAACACATAGTAAATATTCTATTTTGTCTTCATAAGCACATATATATTTACGCAATATAAACAAATTTAGAAAAGTTAATTCACCGAAAGGGTATCCTTAGTCACAATCACTCAATATTCGTATATTGTGAAGATGATGATGATGATGATAACTGATGATAATAATAACAACATGAACAAAATAACATAAAAAGAAATAATGACATTATCAATAATGGTAATAGTAATAATAATAATAATAATAATAATAATATAATAATAATAATAATAATAACTACAATAATAATAATGGAATATGAGAACAGATGCTGATGCAACAAATACTGACAACATATAGATAAACACTTCTAGATGAATTTGAAGACAAATGAAAAAAAAGAAAAGAAGAAAGAAAAAAACAAGTAAAAAATTGCTCAATCATTTTTATCATTAAAGCTGTAAAATAAATATCAATAACACCATTTATGATTAAAAGAATACAACACAAGATAATAAATAATAATGATATAAATACTGATAAAATAAAAAATGTAATAATAATAATAAAAAAATAATAATAATAATAATAAAATAATAACAATAATACTAATACTAATAGTAGTAATAATAATAGTAATAATGAAAATAATACTGATGATGATAATAATAATAATAATAATAATAATATAATAATAATAATAATTGCTAATAAATAATAATCATAATATCATACCAATACCCGTTTTGTGGATGGAGTCGTATGACGTCAAAAGGTTATTGGTAATTCATCAAGCTTCCGTAACTTTCTTCACAAGATAACATACAGGAGTGAGGGGAAATATGAGAGAAGGTCTGCGTCTTTGTACAAAAGTGGGTTGATATATAAGAGGAATCCACTTTCACTACCAAAAATCACAAAAAAAAAAAAAGTATCAGTAAATGTACATAACAGTAATAAAATGAAGGTGAAAAGAACGGGGATGGTTACAAAAGCCTGAAATACCGGAGAGATATATCATCTATACATAAAAATATAACAAGTCATTCATTTGCTGATGTCACCTCGACATAGTAATGATTATTTAAGATAGGATATTCTATTTCATAATAATATATCATTACTGATATATAGTGACATTTTTTTTCTTTCTTTCTTTTTGGGCAAAGGTGTGTACCTTAATACAATTTAATAGATATTGGATACCTTGAATTACAACTTCAGACTACTTGGATATTACTGAGTTGCCAATTTTGCCATGAACAAATGCACAGATACTAGGCTATCAGATGTCAAATGTCTTTGCACAAAATTGCCTTCAAAAAGCACAAAATGACAATGAAAAAGGCTTTAATATATATATATATATATATATATATATATATATATATATATATATATATATATATATATATATATATAATATATATATATATATTAAAACCTTTTAGGCCAAAATCTAAAAAAAAAAAAAAAAAAAAAAAAAAAACTTGCCTTGCTGAAAACACTGGTTTTACACAAAATACATTATAATGTTCTACATAGGCTTGTATTATATTGTGAATGATGAAAACAATAACAAGATTAAAGAAAATTGAACATTCCAACCAAACAATGAGAAAATACAAAGCAAATATCCCTCATGAAAATCTTTGACAATGACTATGAATTATAAGAACTGATGAAACAAAACAAAATCCTTATGCCAAACAGAGGAAAAAAGATAGAATGATTAAGCATAATGAAAAAATATATGACAAAAAGTCAAAGGAATAAATATTAACAAACACTTTTATCAGTTCTAATAGTGCTATTAATATCTGCTGTACTGTCTGCTGACACTAAGTAAAATTGAGATAAGAACAAGTGATTGGTTCCAAGTGGTGAAAAGTATCTTCATATTTCACCAAGTTGTTTATGCAGACAATAATTTTGTTCTCAATTTTTGTCACTAAAATAGAATTATAAATATTGTTACATGCTCATTTTCTTGCAAATCAGGCAAGTTTTTGGATTACTATGCATGAAAACCATCTATTCATCAAATTTCTCAGTGTCTAGTCTCTTATCTTGTTATTCATAATCTCATTTTGTTTTCCCATATTTATTTTTCTTATTCCTTCTTTTAAATCATTGATTTCTACTTCTTTAATCTATAATCACCTATTTCAATGGCAAAAAACTGTGTTACATTCAACTGTCATATTCATCCAGCCTCAATTTCACATTCATTAATATGCAAAAATACCTAATAATTTTTTTAAGATGGAATTAAGCCTTGTTTAAGTCCCACTACATGTGAGAGTATGTGCATTTGTTACAAGCAAAACTAGGCACTCCTATGTTCCAGTCTAACATACTTTTGCTGCTATACCTCTTAACATCTTTGATATTCCTCTTTACTAAAATCTCTTATGATGTCATGTCTAATCTATAAAGAAGTCTTTATGTCAAAATGCCTTCATCCAATGAATGATTGTTTATTCAGATTTATGTAAAACAAAAATCATATGTAATAAGATCTGTTACATACACCCATGCACTGACACAAAAATTACATACACATGCACATACATATGCACACATACACACTCATATATACAATGTTACTTTAAAGGCTCTACAATGCCTGAAGATTTCCACCACCAAAAGTAATGAAAAATAAATAAATAAATTGTTAGATAAATAAGTCAAATAAAAAATAAAAAAGGAACTCACACAAACAATGTTGCTGACAATAATAATAATGGAAAATAATAATAATAATAATAATAATGATAATAATAATAATAATTATAATAATAACAATAATAATAATATAATATAACAATAATCCCAATAGCAATATCAATGACCATTATCACAATAATGATTGTAATAATCACCAAAATCACAATAATAAATCACAAAAATCAATCATCTGACTAGAGTACAGATGTCAACCCCACCGAATTCTTGGTCTGAGACATCCCTAAATTTACCTCCATTATATAATTATCTGAATTTTTATTATTATTTCTATCTTTATTGATATCTCTTATGACTGAGTGCAATCGTATATAATTTCTTTGACTGCCATAACTTGACTCTTTATGTAGCTAAAGCTATACGTCGATGGATGAAGATTGAAGAGCTTGATATTGATTTATAGGACAATAAACATATGTAAATACTTTGTTAAACTCAAGGATTTTGTGTACAAGTTGATGTGTATGGACATTTGTATATGATATGTATAATATAGATAAATATGTATGTCTATGTTTATGTATATGTATGAGCTATATGTAGATGAATAGCCAATGTCTATGTATATGCATTTGTGTTTGCATCTATAGATATGAAGTGACTACAAATAATTTTTTTTATAATTCAGTATTAATTCATTTCATAGGACTCTTACAATTCACTTTTCAAACTCTCAAAATCATAATATTAGGCATTTTAACATTCAATGACTATCAAAAAGTTTCAAGCTCGTGAGAGAGACCAGAAAAGAAAGAAACTGCCCATGACCAAGCCTTCTCACTGTTTTTTTTTTTTTTTGTTTTTTTGTTTACTTGTTTTCTTGAGAAAAAAGTTTTTCTTTGGACAAACAGAATCATACTGTCTAATGTCTTTTTTCCTGCTTACCATCCATCAGTCAACAGAAAGAAAACTAGGAATTATGTACATCCTTTTTGTACACATTACGTCTTGGGAGAAACTATATCTCAAGCATTCTTGTCCAAAGAAGGAAAAAACATCCATGTTAAAAAAGTGCAATCAAGTATTGACTGAAAATAAAAAGTTGCCGGGAAAAGGCATGACCCTAAAACTCCTCAAAATAATAAAGGAAGAGGCTGTTGGATAATGTAAAACTAGTTCAATGCTTTATCAATTATAATTATGTCAAATAAAGCTAATACAAGTTTTCCATCTCTATATAAAAATAAAATGAGAGATTTTTTTTTTTTTTTTTTCTGGAGGGAAGGGGGAGATAACCAAATGAAAACAATAATAAATAATATAAAATGAAACTTTCACTCTGAGAAGTCTACATTCACACACTCAAAATATGTATATTACAAAGTCATCATTTCACACTCAAGTTGCACATTACTTGATATTTCCATTAAAAATTGGTAGAAAAAATGGCAACAATCATACACCTCATCAACAAAGTAAAACTTCCAGTTGATAGATATCACTAGAGAATACTTGTAACTGTCACTGATATAATATGAGTTACTGTGAAAATTTGAATCTTGAAATGGCACACTGTATAGAAAATGAAATGATTTCTTCATACCACAATGATTTCCTTCTTGACAAATAACACCAAATCGTTCTATTTTCTCTCTCTTGCGACAGATGATATAAACACACCTTAGACAATCTTAGTCTTCCTCCACCACCCTATTATTCCAAGCCTTGCACTTGCGGTTCTGCTTGCGGAGGAATTTCTTCTTTCTGCCTTGTGTCCATGGAACTGCACTTAGTAATATATCATCATGACCATCAAAGTATAACCACTGTCCAACACATTTCCACCTTATACAGCATCATATGTATATATACACATCTGCCTTGGCAGAAAGGTTTTCCAAGTTTCAAAAGAAAATAGAAAATAATAATGAACTGATAATCTTGCTCCAGTTACATCTGGCCATGTAATTTCTTAAAAGATGTTTATTTTACATAGTTACAACACTAACATGTAGTTCACAGGAAGGACTCCTTTGTCCTTGCAACCTGCAAATACACACACGCATACACTTACACCCTTCAGGACGATCACAGTTTTGAGATAGTAACTATTGGCTTATGGTTTCGTCACTTGCTTTTTAAAGTGCTTCCAATCCATTCTAGTCCCTGATAAAGGCTGAAAAGGAAAAAAGAAGATATTAGATAAAATATTAAAAATTGAACCAGAAAAAAAAATCCACTTCACAACAAAAGATGTGCTATTTAAATGATATTGCATTCATTTTTGACCAATCTGCAAAAAGTTGGGTTTCAGTACAATCGAACTGAACTGCTTTTAACAAGGCAACACAAGAGAAAAAAATAACAACCAACTCAAAGCCTTACCCTTCTCCTGTTAATGCACAACATCCTTGGATCTGCCACTTATGTTTCTTTATAGAAGTCAGGTTTAATAACCGTGAAATCTCTGCTGCGCTCATCGAACCTTTCACATCTTGCTTGTTGGCATATATAAGTACTGCCGCTCGTGATAATTCCTCATGAGCCAACATCTTGTACAGCTCTTCTCGCGTGATGCTTAGGCGTTCTCGGTCTGTTGAGTCTATCACCAAGATGACAAACTGAAAAAGTCATTATTCATGTGAATATTATACATGTTAAAGAAAAGTAAGATGCCTGTTTTACAAAAGATGGCTTACATAAAGACCTTGCATACAGACTGCTATAAAAAGAAGCTCTTCCTCATATTAAATGATAATGAAGCAATTAAGATAAAGAATATTTACAAGAATATATAAATATAAGGAACACTCCTGAACATAAGAAATGCACCAGACTTTATATTCTTTCGTCGAGAAGTGCTAATAGCTTGCTGATAGCTGACTAAAAGAAAACTATCACACATCTTGGCTTAATCTGCTCCATAATTTGAATATTACTACGATAATCACTATCACATCTGTACTGCAAATACTAAGTGGACTGTTACACACTCACTTTAATTACCTCTGCCAAGGACGTAATTTTTGGTAATGTTTGTTGTTTGTTTGTTTGCTGGCTAGCAGGAGAACTACAAAGTTATGAACAGATTTTTACCAGAGGTGTGTCTTAACCCAACTTAGATGTCATTAAATTTTGGTGGAATTTTAAAATGAATTGATTAAATCAGTAACCCCTATTGCTCTGTCAGAGGTATGCAAGAGTACCTCTAGCAAGATAACTCAAAAAGTAAAGAACAGAATTTAACCAGAGGTATATCTGACCCTAACTTAGTGCCATTAAACTTTGGTGGCGAGCCAGATCAAGATCTGGATCCAGGAATTTTTAAATGAATGCATTAGTCACCCCTACACCTTGGCGGAGGTATGCGCTCTCTGATTGCTTCTAGTTTTGGTAATGTGAAGAGAATATAATCTAAAGTGTAGCTGAAAAACAATGATTAGGCCATAAAAAAAACATCAAAACTTCAAAGTTTAGCCCCATCACTGAATCAAAGGAATATGACAAATATTTTCCAGCAGAACAAGCATCACCAATAACAGAAACCCAACCCTTCAAACAAGCACTCTCACCCCATGGGACAACAGATGAACAGCCCGCCTACCTCTGTATTAGTGTAATATGTGTTCCACGCCGACCGTAGAGATTCCTGTCCTCCTAGATCCCACATGATGAAGTGCAGGTTCTTCCAGACGACCTCTTCCACATTACTGCCAATGGTGGGCGAAGTATGGACGACTTCGTTCATCAGGAGCTGGTACAAGATGGTCGTTTTGCCAGCATTGTCGAGGCCAACCATTACAATTTTATGTTCTGAAAAAAAATTGATAGGATATAGATACAATACTCTACTCTTTCTGGCATATGTCATTACGTTTACATAAAATATAGTGTCTATCTGCATCCCATGTTTGCGCGTGTGTGTGTGTTTGTGTGAATGCGTGCGTGCGTGCGTGCGTGCGAGGCAATAATGTGTTTACAATTCCTGCTGGCACACTCGCCTGCCGGAGATGCTATGAAAGGCTTCCACGTTTATTTACCATCCTACTTAATTGGAAAGAATGCCGCGTCTGATATTCCGAGCACATACACTGTTATTCAGACTTGTCGATACCCTTCGATACAATAATAATCTGCCCGTTACATATACTCTTTCATTTTCGTGCCAGTCCACATTACTAAGCGATTTCCGATAAACACAAATCAACGCCATAACACTAAATAAAAAGCTTCTCTAGAGCACCCTGTTTACTTTCTCAATATCCAATAACTAAAAATATCTCTTGATACAAAATCCCAAATCCATGTCGCTGTGATAATTCAATAAATATAAATCGTTTAGGCAATCAAGAGTACATTCATGCTTTTAGGGGGAGGAGAAGGGCAAGGGAAGAGTGCACGACCTTGCACTCAGGTTATATATATAAAAAAAGAGATAAGGCCACTTGCCATAGCGCCCAACGTTTCCGCTCTCGAAAGTAGGACAATCGTTTCGTACATCCGAAATAAAAATGCACACTATCATGCTACGCTTTTCGCTCTCCTTTCGTCATCTCCGAACAGTTTTCAATTATTGTGTTTAATTTATCGAGAACAACATGATGAGAAACCATCAACTATTGCCAGGGCTACGAGACGCGCCGGCGAGGCCCGTCCGCGAGCATCGCAGCAACGGACGCAGATGAATCAGCGCCGTGGGTTCTCGGGACCTCCCGTGACGTGGATGTGACGTCACACTCGCTTCTTACGCACATGTGACGTCAACCGAACGAGGGGGAAATCTCTTGCTTCGTTACATTTATGCTTTTCCTCTTAGCAACTATTCCAGAACCACACAGAAATTATGCAATTTTTTTTCTACAAACTCATCGTGCACAGCGTTTAACTTAAAACAAACACACGAGTATACAATTAAGACAACATTGCGAGCGAGAGCGCAGACGAGCTGGCGCGATTCGTCGAAAAAGAAACAAACCAAGTGAACGTCATCACACGAACACTTGCTCTACGAATCGACACCGACTTCCAACGACGAGAACTTGAGATAGAAAACAATAAAACCTTCTCCTGGGAATTTACAAGACATTAATTAATACTACTACTAAAATTATATATATATATATATATATATATATATATATATATATATATATATATATATATATATATATATATATATATATATATGACTCTTAACACACAAATAAACTTCCAATCAGTCGCACTTTCCAACGGGTGTTTATAAGCAGCTTGGATACCGT